GTTCTATAAGTCGAATTGACGTACTGGAATGTACGTCTTTAAGACGTCTTTCATACGACATGGGAGGAACGACGTGGATACGACCTAAAATGTACGTCTTGAAGACGTAAATTCGTGTACGTCTTGAAGATGAACATGGATTTACATATTAAAGACGTACTTTATACGTCCCTGGACGTAAAGACGTAAGTAAGTCGTAAAATGTACGTCTTTAAGATGTCTGGTGCTGATTGGGATGTCATTCCGCATGCAATATTAGCATGTCATTAAGGAACACCCTGTATATCTGAATCAAAACTTCAAGAAGAAGTAGCCCACCGATGGCATGCCATGCCATTGATCCTCTGCCCATGATTCCGCATGCAAAGTAATCTCCAGCGCTCGGCGTTTACGCTTGTCGCCAAAAGTCGCCAAAACCTTCCAAAACATACTTTCTCGTCATAATCGAACGAATCGAGGTGTCTATCCATCGTTACGCCGTCTGAGATACGGACCAGCACCTCCGTTTCCACGAGAAGAATCCAGAATCCAGAATTCAGGAAAAATCGTTCGGCAGCGTTTCTCGGCATGTACGTTCCCCGCTGGAGAATGCTCCTCACGTATTCCTCTGCAGCAGCGTGCCTGCCATTCGTAATGGCCCTGGCGGGGCCCGCAATCAATAGGGTATTTGCAGCTGCAGGGAAGATGGCCGACCTTAGGAGGAGACGCGAGTGTGTGCCACCTAGGGCTGGGAGATCACCTGTCAGACGATGTGTGATCCGGAAATAGTGGTTTTCCAAGTTAATCGACTTCCGTTTAGTTTGAATACACACGCAAAGAAAAAGGCTGTAAAGAATACTATAGTAAACTAGTGAAGTTCACTGGGAAAAACAATTGATATATGGACAGACATTGTTCCCAGTAAACTTCACTTCTGAGTTCAAGTAAGATGATGTAATATACTTGCTACATCATATGATAGTCATCACGAACAGAGTGGATTGAGTACCGTTCAACCACATTCATATTTACTACAGGAGGAATAGTGTATTTAACAAAAATTTAACAGCACTTCTTCATTGCATTCAATATTGCGCTCGATCACTATATTATGCTATATTGGACTTCCCTCTTCAATGTACGAAAACGTACTTGTACATTGTAGTCTGATTTTCTATACAGGAAAGTGATAATATCAATCCACACCTCCATTATCTGGAGTATTCCACTATATTCATAGTAACAATATATTATAGGACTTCACCTCTGAAATATTTCAATCTTAAACCTGAAACACAGACTGACTGACTTAAAATCAAGCCATAGCGCCGTTATTATACATTATACATCGAATCATCACACGATTTTGATGAACAACAAAAGGAGAAGAAATAACCCTCGAATACAAACTATAAAAAGGCACTAATAATATTTAGTTCAATTCAAAGCTCTGATGTCAGCGACTGTAATTTTTTTTTTTCAAATGGTTAACATATATTTTTTTTAGTTGTTCCTGATGAATACTTCTTCTAAAATAAGTGACATATAACCATTTGACTATCGCCCATAATTAGCTAAGAAAAATAAAGAAATTTTTTTTTGAAATGTTCGATGAGTCATGTTGAAATAACTCTCGCAGTATACCATTTGCCCGATATATTATGCACAAATCAATCTCAGTGTTATGAAAAAAATACAATGTTACAGTGATACATTGATAAAACTATCGCATGGAAAATACTTCAAGATATATACCAGCGGAGACACTATAAATACCTATTGCTTAAATTGACTACCGTCTTGCTGAACACAGAGTTGACTTCGGTTCAACAAGTTGCTGGACAGTTCGAACTTCGAACAAAATCATTTTATATATTTAGTTCAATCCAACGTAGAAAGGAAGAAAAATGATTATAAACAAAAAACAAACGTTTGAAAATATCAAATATCTGTATGCTCCCCAGCAAAAGCTTCAAGTTCTTCCCTTTCTATGCGTAATCCTGGCGATCTGGCTTTATCTTATAGATATTTCCATGGACGATGCTCTTCTGAAATATCAACAATTGTTCCTCCCTTGGCAGTCCCCACCAGATTAACCCGCCGAGTTGAGGCTTCGCACTTCTTCGTGCTCACTTTGGAGACCTGCAGAACATCTGTTTCCAAAGACTCATTCATTCAACGAACAGCGAGGATCTGGAACACATTGCCAATGGAGGTGTTTCCTAAAGAAGAACACCAATTTCTACCTTATTTCCCTTGGTTCTCACGATGTTTTCTGAACATTACAGGATATCCCTTTTCGTGGGAACCAGAACATAAAAAAAATCGCAAGGCAGGAAATTGTTGTAAAAATGTGAATTGCCATCATTCAATCTGTATCCTCTCAAAATTGAAGGTGTGGATAATCATTTTATGGTCATTCGAAAGCACCACCTTGAGGGTTCAAATCCCTCCGAAAACATGCACACAGGAACATATGTCAATAACTCTGAAGACACAACTTGATTTTGCAATATTACAGAAGAAAATATAGGAATAATTAAGATGTGGAAACAAACCATTTTTTCCTTTATCATATTATGTCACTTATTTTCTGACGGATTTCCATGTCTGACCTCTTGTTCTATTCAGAAAAGTCTGTACGCTCTCCGAATATCATACGCAAAAATATACAGTGCGACTCAAAAAATGTCTAGTGAGTTTTTGAGTTCGGCCATGTTCAGGTGTTTCCGCCATTCTGTTTTATGAAAAAATTCGATAAATATATAGAGTTAACGGGTTGTCTCGTTCAATTATCTTTCAAACAAGACCATCAGAATCAACGGAATCGGAAAATCGAAATTCCAGTTTTTCATGGAAATCCCTATATTCATATTGAAGAAGTGACATTTTTCATAGGTATGTACAATGAAAGTGCTATGATGGGTGGAAATAGTGCATTTTTATATAACATATTATTTTCTCGATAAGTACATCGTTTCCAAGAGTATTTCGAAAGTTTCAGGTTCCAAACTGATTTTCATATTCTGGATAATTATTTGGTAAAAATTATTCGATTAACAACCAGACATAACTAAATTCATTATTCATTTCAATACAGAGGTTTTATGCCTGTTATAGGTCCCGGATAATAACATCGAATATACTCGTTATTGAATTTTGCAATGCTAGTTACAAAAGTACTCAGCATCAAATTACCTATAGTTACTGTTATTGGGTCGTCGTAGCAAAATAAATTGAATAGCAATAATGAGACAGCTATATAGGCTGTCCCCCATTTAATCGGAGTTTTTTATTTGTAAAGGTCATTCAATTTCTATCAACGCTTTCCGATTTTTTTCCCAGTGTAACGAATAAGAAATTGGTGGTTCATGACACCTATATATATTAACGATCAAGTTCCCTATTAATGAACGATTGTGGCCCAAGAAAGTGTTTGGGATCACACGTTAAAAGGTAAGGCCCCCGTCATTCCTTGCTCGCACAAGACTTTCGAAGACTTCTGAGGGTTGCTCGTATATAAGGGGGCAACCGAATGACGAATAGAACAATTTTAGAACAATTTTAGAAATTTTTTCAGTTGATGCCTACGTTGTGTCCTAGATCTATTAGAGAATAAACTCTGAAAGTAATAATGATAAATAATACTTAGAAGGTTTTCAAACAAAATATACACCCACATTTATTCTTGGCAAAAACTAACAATGAAATCAAAACTTACCCTAATATGTACATATTAACTGATATTTCTGGGAGCCTGAGGAAGGGCATCTTCTGTTCTAACCGAACGTTCGGGCACAGTGGCAACTTTTCAAACTTACAATTGATAGATTTCAATAAACATTCCTGAGTTGTACTCAAAAAACAAGACTAGAATTCGAACTGGCACTCGAACTGTCGAGCCCGCTTCCTTACGTCTTTTATATAAATAATAGTTGTCTATATTTTCGGAAATGTAACAGTAAGGAAATCAGGTCGATAGGCCAGGTTCATGATCATTGGTTGAAGTCAATGTCACGCCTGTGTTTTTGATCAACTACTATGAAGAAAAGTTCGTTCATGATCCGAAAATTTTGGAATTAATAAACAAAGACGTGCCTGTTCAATGACTTCGAACCCTCTATATATGAATTTGAATGAAATTTAAGAAAATAACCCTATGCGTGACAGTATAGGCAACCAGATATACCACGTCTCGTTTCATTTTTGTGGTGATTCACACGAGACCAACGATACGAGACTTTCATAAAGTCTCGTCCCGTCTCGCCCATGAAATATAAAGTCTTGTCTCGAGTCTCGTCTCGCAGCCTCGAGTCTCGTCTTGTCTCGCGTCTACGGGATATTTACCTTCACCTACTTTTTAGGTATTATGTGAGAAGTAGGAAGAGAAAATTACAACAAAAATAACATTATTTATTGAAAAGTAAGTACGTAATAGGTACATACTTACATTAAATATCTGAACAAGAAGAAAAAAACAGCATTATATATTCGGAAGTTATGAAAATAAAATGAAATGTTTTGTCTATCTGTGCTAAATAATCTGAATTATTTCTAAATATGTTGTATTATGAATGAAATTCTCAAGTCTGCAGTCGGCACGCAGAAATATTCACCTGCGAGACTCTCACACGAGACACGAGAAGTCTTGCACGAGACTCGAGACGAGACCAATATAAAAGTCTCATCTCATCTTTTCCGAGTCTCGTCTCGAGTCTTGTTTTGAAAACGAGACGAGACCATGCGAGACTCTCGAAAACGAGACTCTCGCGGGCATCGCTACACTTTTGGTATTATTACTTATGAAATCCGCTTTTTCACGTTCTTGAACCGATTTTCCATATTGATAATTTCGACAAGTTTCAAATGTTAAAGCGACAACTTGTCTGTCCCCTATGCTACTAGAGTATCTTGCTGGGATAATTCGATTTCTAACTATGGTCAATACAAATTTTCTTCAGTGTCGAGTTCATTTGTACATTCCCTTGTTCAGCGATGCGATGTTTTCTCTTTGTTTCCAGGTTGAAATGACCGGCAGCAGTATATTCGATTACATCCATCATCAGGATCACTCGGAAATCGCCGAACAGTTAGGATTAGGTCTATCGCAAAACCAAAGTTTGGCGTCGCCGGAAAGCGGATCAGAAGAGAGTTCTTCGACTGCAGGAACGAACAATCCTGACGGTAAGTGAAGTTCTCATTTAACGCACAGGAAATAATAAATATAATCTAATATAGCAGTTCGTATTGTCTTATGCTGCTATTCTTCCGACCATCTAGGTAGCTTAAATATTTATCTAAGGTATATAGGATATATGCTGCTATTCTGCACACCTTCTGACTCTGTAGGCTATGTAATATTGCATATTTATAGAATGTAAGGAAATAGGTATTCTGCCAGTGTGATTTTGATATATTCCTATAAAATGGTATCACATTGTATGTAACATTCTTACATAAATATGGACTTAGCAACAATGGGGTTTCAATAACTTGATAGATTTCAATGCCAACACAATACATGCATGCCTTTTCTCTAGAAAAGCCGATCTCACTTTGCACAACATAAGCTTGTCAGGAGTAACCATACCTTTGAAGACATCTATTTCGATGCTTGGTATCACTATCAGCAATGACCTTTCTTGGGAAAATCACGTGAGATCAATTGCTAAAAGTGCATCCCAAAAACTTGGTTTTCTGTTTCGGGCGAAGGAGCAATTTCACTTCCATCAGTCAGCTACCTATGATCTATAAGGCACAGAACCGACCTGTCCTGGAATACTGTTCCCATATTTGGAGTGCAGCACCCAAACATACCCTGAAACTGTTGGATTCTGTCCAATGAAGGGCAATTCGTCTCGTGGGTGATGCCTCGCTCACAAACTCACTCACTCCTCTGGAAAAGTTGGCGATCTGGCTTTATTTTATAAATATCTCCATGGAAGATGCTCTTCTGAAATATCAACAATTGTTCCTCCCTTGGCAGGCCCCGCGTGATCAACTCGTCGAGTTGAGGCTTATCGCATCCCTTCGTGGTCAATTTGGAGACCTGCAGAATATCTCTTTCCAAGGACTCGTTCATCCAACGAACAGGGAGGATCTGGAACACATTGCCATGGGAGGTGTTCTCCAAGGCATATAACCTCCAGAAAATCAAGAAGAATACCAATTCCTACCTTATTTCCCTTGGTTCTCACGATGTCCTCTGAAAATTACAGGATATCCCTTTTCGTGGGAACCAAAACTTAAAAAAAATATGCCCTCCTCGAGTTTGAATTACTGCTTTCGATCGCCGTGGCATCGAATTGATCAAATTTCTCAAGTATAGTCTTTAAGAATTGCCTAAAATTCTTCTTGAAGGGTGTATCAAAGCTCTTAATAAAGAGTCTCTGACAAGGCCGGACGAAGGCAAATGGATTTATCCCTAAGTTGCTCCATCTATAGGTTCTTAATTATTGTTGGTAAAGACGAAAAAACTCCATACTTTCTTGAAACACTTGTATCTTTTCTTCAAAAGATATTGACGTGATGTATGTAGAAACATGTTGAAGCAGAAGGTTGGAGAATTATTGTTAATCACAAAATCCATACTCATCGAAAAATGTTTTATTCTCCCTTAAGAAGTGGTAATCGACGAGAATAAAAAAACATTCTGTTAATAAAGGATCACACTTCAATCAAAAACATAATGGAGCTGAGTTGACCCTTTCACCTTTGCCACAGGGTGATAAGAAGTTAAGGGTGAAAGAGTAAATTTTTTATGTCCCTGTATAATGATCAAGTCATCCAGCTTCTCTCAAGAAATAATAATAAGGCTAACATTTCGAAACATGAATATACGATTTGGTCGAAGTTTCACCAAAATCGGACAATGATTAAAAAAGTTACAAGTCGAACATTTTGTGAAAATTTATTTGTGTCCAATTTTTTTGCCAAGGGTGTAGTAAAAAACTCTTCAAGTCATCTCCACAACGTTTAATCTCAAAGGAGGGAACATGGTTCGGATCCAAAAGGTGTCCATCATCAGGTGAAAGAAATTATTCTACAAGGAATAAGGCAAACAGTAAGGACATCAAGTTATGCAAAATGCTACTCACGTGGAGAAGAAAAAGGCAATAACATTGTTCTATATTATAAACGAGTTAAACAAATTTTTAGTAGGTCACATTCAATTTGTTCCAGTTCAAAAATGGATACTAATCGTAAAAATTAAGCATTGAAGAATATAGTGTATGATTTTTTCTATTTCTTTCACAATGAACCAGCGGAATAATATATTAAACTAAATTGGCAATTTATCAATTCCCACCGTGTATTTCTTTAATTCAATTTCACGCCCGATGTCCAAGTAACGCCAATTGAATATAAATTCGCAGTGAAGAATCCTCAAGAGACGATTTTCATGTTCATGTTTGCTATGCTTTTCTTTTTGATATACGTCAGTATTGGATATTTTCACTTTGATGAACGAGTATAAAGGTTGACTTCAAGATTCTCGAGAAAAAAATGATAATAATAATAGTAAATCGTCTTCATTTATGTATTAATAGGGTTACAAAAGCATAATTGATCACTAGTGGCGAGATTTAGCTAAAGATATTCTTACATCTAACCACGTAGTAATCAGTATTATAAAAGAATTCTGCGAATTATTCGATAGTGATTTATACATTATGTGTTAACTACAGGCATGCTAAGATTTTTTGTTTGAAGCCATATTTGAAGGTACTTGTACTGCATTCTTTCAGTTCAGCAGGTAGTGAATTTTAACAATTTAATAGAATTACAACTATTACAAGTAAATCCTTCCTGAAAGGGAGTTGTCGAATGATGACTAACGGTTATTGTATCTTTATTTCTGATGTTAACAGAATGAACATGGTGCCGTAGTACCAGTTTACTCTTTATATCTTCGGGACCCTTCAACATTAACTTATGTAAGTAAGTTGCGAGATGTTACGATTACGATGTTACGATTTTCCATATTCAACCAGTTAAGTTCCTTAAATTTTTGGCTAACGTGATCATATCTACGGAGTCCAAAAGTGAAACGAATAGGGGTCGCCAAATTATTGAAAATTTCAAGATCTTAGATTTCAAGACAAGACAAGAAATTTTATGTCAATACCAAGATTTCTTGTCAATAAAACGAGAAATCTTGAAATTTCTTGACTAAGAATGAAAACGCTGAAACGTTCGTTTATCACTCATGATGAAATAAGTGATAATATCAATATATTGAACTTTTTACCACCTCTTCACAAACTGACATCATAGCAAGTGCGCGAAGTCGTTTGCTCCTGTCAGAAAACAAAAATAAAGATCAGGAAACCACCAGATTGCGTGTTATCACGCGACAGGGTTGCCGGCTCTACTGAATTTTCAGAAGATCTACTGATTTGCATATTGATATACTGATGTACTGAAACATTTATAATCTACTGGAAAAAATTATGACACTTATTCATTATTTTATAATCACCTATCAATTTTGATATTTAGTTAATCACATAGACTCATAATATCATGGGTGATATTTGGGCACGCTGAATAAATTTTCTGGCGCCACGGACTAAAATTCGAATGCGTCTGAGCGCTTGATATGTTGGTAGAAGAAACCCACTATTTTCGCAGGAAAAATGTAGTTTTATGAAAAGTGACATTTTGTCACCTGTCAACATAGATAAGATGTCAAACTTTTTTCCCGTCACAGAATAAAACATATATTTTTGACGTCATAGGTTCATTTCATTTTCCTGAAATTTGTACCTATAGCACAAAATGAATCGAATGAAATCTACTGAATTTCTGACAAGGTATAAATGTTCTGATTAAAGTTCGCCGGGGAATCACCATGTACGGTGTCACCTGCCAATCAAGAAATTTCGAGGTCTTGAAATTTCTTGAGTCACGGCAAGAAATGATGTGTCAAGAAAAACGTCGAGACAATAAGGTTTTTCGAGATTTCTAGACTCTTTCTCAAGACAAGACAAGGAGTTGTTCAAGACAAGAATTCTTGTCTTGACGACCCCTAGAAACGAATACAGTATATATAGTTTTGGACTTTTTGTATTACGTTCATGTACGAAGCATTAAGAAATGGTCCATAAAGAAAATCGCAGTATGTAAACTGTGATAAATCTCAGGAGCTGAGTATAAAATAGCCTTCGGTACTATACAGGGTGAATATTTTTTTTTTCAATTGCTGTTGCTCACTTGGTAATCAGGGGAGCTACAATATCGGTTAAATAGGCAAATCCAACATCGCGTTCATCATTTTTTTAAATGGGACACCCAGTATACAATATTCTTAATAGAATATATAAGATGAACATGCATATAAAATATATAATCTAAGAGCTATTTCAACAAAAAAAACTTGATAATGATATACAACTCACCAGTCGAGTCCATAATCAGATATTGCATCAGTTCATTGTATAAGTATTTCACCTGATTAAGCTTCTTCTTTCAGTTTGGCTACATCTATAAAAGCGTGTTTTTTAGTTTTTAAAACTATAATACATTAAGAGAAGGACATACTATACCCACTTGATGGTTTTCTGCTGAGTTTTGCCACTTTGTAGCATTAGTGTGCGTCCCTGGATGTTATCTCGAATCTGGTTGGTCTCGAAACACATGAAATTTTCTCTTTTTCTGTTGGTCCATCGTGCGAAAGTGAAACTAAAATAAATTCCGTGAGAAAAGATCAAAACATTCGTTGTTATTATGAATCACCCACGAGAGTGTGGCTCGTTACATTTTCACTGTTGTGGTACACATCATGAATGAAATGTCATATCGTACCTCGTAGGCAGTCTTTGAGACCGGCCACAATTCATTGTGATGACATCTCGGATAAGGTTAGTTATGGCTGGGCTACCTCACTCAAATTATGCGTACGTGAACAAGGTCTCTTCATACAGACTTTATAATGAGAGGAGTAAACGAGTTTATTACACATATAAGAAAAAGAATGTATCATTTTAAGAAAATGAATGTATCTAGAACCTACAACTATTGCACCACGCTGTTTTACCACCACTAACCAAACTGAAATCATTTGTTTTCACATCAAAGATCACATGGGACTGCTTTGGAACACTCATGCAACTGGGAAAGGACAACAAAGTCACACTTATGTGGGTTCCAGGGCATGAAGGAATCAAAGGAAATGAGGCAGC